GCCGTTGTTTTCTTTCACTCTTTTTTGCTCCAGACCAGGAGAGACTAACAGTTTCATCTTACATGGCCACTTACAAGCTTTTAATACCCCAGCTGCTACTCATCAGAGTAGGATGTAGAACACTGTTTTTGTGTACTTTGTTATGCCAATTGAGCTTGATGTCCCTTGCATCAGTTGAGCTTGATGTCCTGATACGACAGGCCCAGTGACTCACTCCCTCAAGGTGTTTGGTTGTGGCTAAGAAGTTATCATAACTTTGTCCTTTATTATATATATGGACATTGTTATAGCACATACACAAATGTATGTAGAAATATCCGCCAAACTTACAAATAGTCATGGGCATATTCCCCTTTGCCTAGATGTACTTGATCGCTCAGCCTGTCTACCTGTGTATCCACCTGTATGTTATTACTGGTAATGCAGTTTTGTGTATATAAAAGTGTTTATCTTTGTTGGCTGTACCTCTTGGGCACCTCTCTATGTCTCTTTTTCCTTCTTATTGTGTTGGTCACTTGCTTTTGGTATAATGCCTTTCCCTTCAGCCAAATCAATACTTGTCTCTTACCTATCTAGCAATTTTCCCTTCCATCCCCTCCCTTCCCTGGTAACCAACAAGGAAAGTTTCATTCCATATGTAACCGTTCCTTGACTTTTTTCAACAGTGGACTAACACAATATTTGTGATATTGTATTATAGTAGCAGTGATGAGGGCAGGCATCCTTGCCTTATGGGAAAAGTTCTCGGTCTTTCCCATTGAGTATAATGTTAAGCTGTGGATTTTTAATAAGTGCCCTTCAGCATATTGAGGAATTTCCTTTCTGTTCCTGGTTGAAAGGAAAGAAAGTGTGTTGGATATGGTCAGATAATTTTTCTGCATCAATTGAGATGATCTTTTTTTTTTTTTTTTTAAATGTGGTATATTAAAACAAACCAAAAACTCATTGGCATCGACTTGATTCTGACTCATAGCAATCCTGTGTGCTGTATACATTGATTGATACCCTAATGTTGAACCATCTTTGAGTTTCTGGAATAAATCCTACTTGGGCACAGTGAATCCTTTTGATATGCTCTTGGACTTGGTTTGCTAGCATGTGGTTGAGGATTATTGTATCTCTATTTATAAGGGGTATTGGTCTGCAAGTTTCTTGTGCTTGTTTTTCTCTTTGGTGTCAGGCTAATGCTAGTCTCATAGAGTGAGTTAGGACGTGTTCTCTACTCTTCTATGTTTTGGAACAGTTTAAGAAGGATCAGTGTCACTTCTATAAATATTTAGTCAAATTTCCCAGGGAAGCCAGCTAGTTCAGGACTATTTTTATTGAGAATGTTTTTTGATTACTGATTCAGTCTCTTCGCTTGTTATGAGTGTATTGAGATTTTCCATTTCTTCTTGAGTCAATTTCTATAGTTCATGTGTTTAGAAAAAATTATCCATTTCATTAAAGTTATATATATATATATATTTGCCTTACAGTGCCTCATAATATTTTATGATCCCTTTTATTTCTATAGGGTCAGTTGTAATGTCCTTACTTTCATTTCTGTTTTAGATATTTGCATGTTCTCTCTGGTTTTCTTTTAGTCTAGCTAAAGGTTTGCCAGTTTCATTACTCTTTTTGCTAAATGGGATCTTTCACTGATGAAATCTTTTGTACCAAGTTAGAGTGTTTCACCTCATCACTTATTTCTCCAAAGAAACCACAGGAAGAAAATACTGCTTAATCCAAAGGGATGGAGTGCTAATGGAGGAACCTCAGGCTTCTATAGGGAAAATGCTTAAAGAGCATGGACCACCCAGTAGCTTTTGCCTCAACTTTTCTGATACTTCTCAACCAGAACTTTTCTGCTACTTCTGGGAGATAATTAGGCTTTAGGAGCCATTAAAGAAAGGGGAGGAAGGGTGGGCTTCAGGATTTGGCTGGTGAAATTGGCAGGATTGTCAGAGATGAGGTTCTTTGATCAGACCTGAGGGAGTAGTTGGGGTGAGTACAGTGTGGAGGTGTGGAGAAGGGATTTCCAGATTTCCAAGGTCCACTATGGAGACTGCGGTAGTCTGATGTTATACTGGGTTTCTACTAATACTGATATATCCCACCTGAATTTCAAGGTCATGTGAAGAATACGGAAGCTCTGGTGGTGTAGTGACTGAGGCATTTGACTGCTAACCAGAAGGCTGGTGGTTCAATCCCACCAACACTCCTTAGAAGGAAGATTGGGCGATCTACTTCCACAGAAGTACCGCCTCCAAAAGCAAGGAGGTGAAGAATAGATTTGATGTATTGAACATCAAATGACTGAAGACCAGATAATTGTGAGCTGACAGCAAGAACATAATACATGAAGAAAGCAAAAGGTCATTAATAACCACAGGAAAGGAAGAGAAGATCAAAATGGATGTCAGAACAGATTCTGAAACTTGCTTTTGAACAGAGTAGCTAAAGTGAATGGAAGAAATAATGATATAAAAGATCTGAACAGAACATTTTAAAGGGTAGTTCAAGAAGACAAAGTGTCATAATGAAATGTGCAGAGATCTGGAGATGGAAAATCAAAGGGAAGAACATGCTTAGCATTTCTCAGGCTGAAAGAACTGAAGAAAAAATTCAGGTCTTGTGTTGTAATATTGGATACAAGAAGCATCCAAAGAAGATGGAAGGAATATACAGAGTCACTGTACCAAAAAGAACTGGTTGGCATTCAGCCATTTCAGGAGGGAGCATATGATCAAAAATGGATGGTATTGAAGGAAAAAGTCTAAGATTCACTGAAAGAATTAAAAAACAAAGCTCCAGCAGTTGACTGAATACCTTTTGAGATGTTTAAATAACTGATGCAGCGCTGAAGGCACTCACATATTTATGCTGAGAAATTTGGAAGATAGCTACCTGGCCAGCCGATTAGAAGAGATCCATATCTGTGCCCATTCTGAAGAAAGGTGATCCAACAGAATGCTGAAATTAAATTATCAAACAGTATCATTAATATCACATGCAAGTAAAATTTTACTGAAGATAATTTAAAAAATGGTTGCAGCAATACATTGACTGGGAACTGCCAGAAATTCCCCTAGGTTCAGAAGAGGATGTGGAATGAGGGATATCATTATCGATGTCAGATGGATGTTGGCTGAAAGCAAGGAATCCCAGAAAGATGTTTACCTGTATTTTATTAACTATGCAAAGACATTCAACTTTGTAGATCGTAATAAATTATGGATAACACTGCGAAGAATGGGAATTCCAGAAAACTTTATTGTGCTCATGGGGAACCTTTACATAGAGCAAGAGGCAGTCATTTGAACAGAACAAGGTGATACTGCATGGTTTAAAATCAGAGACAGTGTGCATCGAGGTTGTGTCCTTTCACCATATGTATTCAATCTGTATGCTGAGCAGGTAATCCAAGAAGCAGGAGAAGCAGCAGCATCAGGATCAGAGGAAGACTCATTAGCAACCTGTGGTAAACAGATGACACCACCTTGCTTGCAGATGGTGAGAAAGACTTGAAGCACTTAGTGATGAAGATTAAATACTACACCTTCAGTATGTGTTGTGCATCAATATAAAGGAAACAGATCCTCACAACTAGACTATTAAGCAACATCATGAGAAATGGAGAAAAGGTTGATGTTGTCAAGGATTTTATTTTTCTTGGTTCCACAGTCAGTGACCGTGGAAGCAACAGTCAAGAAATCAAATGACATATTGCCTTGGGTAAATCTGCTGCAAAAGACCTCTTTAAAGTGTTTAAGAGCAAAGATGTCACTTTGATGACTAAGATGCGCCTACTCCAAGCCATGGTATTTTTAATAGCCTTATATGCATGTGAGGAACTCTGGTAGTGTAGTGCCTAAGGCACTTCACTGCTAACCAGAAGGCTGGTGGGTTTGTACCACTCTTCAGAAGGAAGGTTGGGCAATCTACTTCCGTAGTGATATCACCTCAGAAACTCAAGGAGGGGTCACTATTAGTTGTATCTGACTCAATGCCACACAACAACAACAACATATACATGTAAGAGCTGGACAATGAATAAGGAAGACTGAAGCAGAATTGATATATTTGAATTGTAGTGTTGGCAAAGAGTATTGAATGTACCATGGACTGCTAGAAGAATGAACAAATCTGTGTTGGAGGAAGTATAGCCACAATGTTCTTTAGAAGCAAGAATGGCCAGACTTCATCTCTCATACTTTGGTCATATTGTCAAAAGGGACCAGTCCCTGGAGAAAGCTATTGTTCTAGGTAAAGTAGATGGTTAATGAAAAGGGGAAGACTCCCAGCAGTGTGGACTGACACAGTGGCTGCAATGATGGGCTCAAACATGGCAACGATTGTGAGAGTGGCACAGGACCGGGCAGTGTTTTGTTCTCTTGTACACGGGATTGCTATGCGTTGGAACCAACTCGTTGGCACCTAACCACCACAACAACTAATACACCCTGGGAATGGGTTTTCTTCCCTCTCCTGCTCACCATCATTTCTAGAACAGGTAGCAGGGGTCTTTCCTCTTCCCTGGAGAGGGGGAATTCCAGCTTTCCTCACAGCTTTCAGGAGACCAGATGCAACAGAAACCAGAAACATGTATAGCAGACAGGACTTTTTATTGGTCAATGAATCATACACTTGGGCACCCTGATGGCAGGAACAATGGGGGGTGTGGTGACCTGGGACCAGATAGGACCCTGCAGCCCAGCTACTTCACAGAGATGCACTACAGAGGGGCTTCACCTGGTGAGAGAGGAGGGTGTTACCTTCATGGGGCAACACTGTTCAGAGCACACATCCCTCTTGTTGCCTTTCCTTTCAGAGGTATAAGATTTTCTGTAATAAGGACAAGGGTCCTTCCTTGCAGGGCCTGCTCAGGGCTACTTTTACTTCTATTTCTTCTGTCCCTGCAGATGTTGAACTGGCCTCTGAGGCTTCAGCTTCTTTATCCCCTTCCCACTTCCCTTCTTCCCACCAACCAAGATCATCTCCTGCACCCAGTCCTCACCTCAGTGGGGCTCTAAACAGGTCATCCCGCAGTAACCCGCACAGCACTTCTTGGCTCCTGGGCACTCAGTGTCTCTCTGACAGAGTTTAGGGGGATTCAACACGGTGCACTGGGTTGGGATTGTGGGGCAGATGCCACTCTTACTGATCTCTGGAACTTGGTGTTTGCCTTTGGCTTTTCTTTTGACTTTTTGACCTCTGTGTTTGATTCTTCTTTTGACTGACTCCTGGACCAGGCTGCGACTTGTCACTAGATTTTTGAAAAGTGGGGAAGCCCTTATTCAAACCCTGCACCCTGCTTCAACTACCACATTTTCCCTTGGGAATAGCCACCACTCACTGTGATGACCTCATACCATAGCCTGGGATGGGAGAGAGGTACTGAGGGCAGAGAAGAAAAGCCAACCCCTGGGGTCTGGCCTCTTGGGACTCTTTCCTTTCTTTGGGAGGAGGGACTTCAGAACCAGGGTTGCCTCAGGGTGCCCGTCTCAGCTTCTCCCAACATTCCAAGCTCTAGGACCCTCAGGGGAAGGAGTCAGGTAGGAGCAACTACTAGAGGTGAAAAGGACATGGTGTCATCTCTGAGGAAACTTAGCCGCGTGCTCAGAGACCTGGGCTTCCGTCTTGGCTCTAGGATGGCTCAATATTTCTTCACCCTTCAGTTTCCTCTTTCCTATACTAGGAATGTTCAGACTGATTGATCTCTGAGGGTCCTGGCAACTCTTAACTGTCTGTGCCCACGCCCTCACTACAAGGACTGATTCTTCTGGCACTTTCATGGAGCAGCTGAGGGCAGTGGAAAGGAGCAGCACTATACCTGGAGGGCGGATGTCCCTCACCTTTTCTCAGCTTCTTCATAGGGACCACACACCTATAGCCACATTCCAAAAAGCAGCACTTCTTTTTCCCTACACAATGCTTGTCTCTCTGACACCGGGGCAGATCCGATCGGAAGCAGTATCTGTATTCGACAGGGCAAATTCCTGCTTTCTCTTTATCTGGTGGAGGAGGCCACAGCAGTGAGGTGGGGAGGAGGGCGGGCTCCAGCCCAGCCTAGAGCTCCAGAAGGCCTCTTGGAGCTTCACCCCAGCCCAATCCAAGTCCACCCAATCCACTCACCCTCTTTGGTTCTTTTCCCAGCCACCAGGGTCACAAAAATGAGCAACACTGTAAGGATCAAGAAGCTGGTGGGCCTCATGTTGCTGGAAGGTGCTTGTCTGAGAGCTGAGGCTGGGCCTGGCTTTATATGGTCATTGCTGGGTGTGCCAGTGGGTGGGGCCAAAGGTTCACAAATGGCAAGGCTCCACTTGCTCAGCTCTCTAAAGAATAGAAACTGGGACATCACTCTGATTGTCCCAAGACCTTACCTTCTTTCTTCACATGAGGAGAATTGCTGCTCGATCCTAGGAGCTACTAGGACCAAACTGTTTTTGGAAGATGGGGCAGAGGTGCAGGAAGAGGAAAGTAGTCACTTAGAAAAGAAAGGTCACGCAGCCCAGCAGTGCTAGAGTCAGACTTCTTTCTTCAAATCCAGGGTGTTCTCTGCTCAGCCTTCTTCATGTGTGCCTCACCCCGGACCAAGACCTTCACTTCTTTTTTTACTGTACCGGGCTTGTCCCATGTTCTCTTCTCAGGGAAGAATCTGAACGGCTGTGCTCAAAATGTCCTGGGTCTCATGTCCATGCACTCAAGCCTTTACACTCTGGCTTCCACCTTCCATGTCTCCTTTGCTAGCCCACATTCTGGCTGCCTCTGAAGCAACATGGCAAAGCTGACTTGGGACCTGCCACCAACTGTGTGATTTTGCAAGTGAAATGGCTCCACCTGCCTAAGCTTTAGTTTCCTCGTTCATAAAATGGCCATCCTAATAGTCCCTCCTTTCTAGGAATTATCCTGGCCAGTGAGGGATCCTGAAAGAAAACCACCATCTTGACTGCCCCCCCCCCCCCCCCCCACCCCCCCCCCCCCCCCGCCCCAGCGCTCACAGCAAAGTTCAAGGATTTTGAATCCATTCTCTTGATTTCTGGATTTGGGGATTTCTTTTGGAAGGAGACTGGTGGCTGCTGATGCTGGGAGTGGGTGTACCTCCATGACTTTGTTGGGGGGGGGCTGCTGTCATCTAGTGAGTAGATGCCAGGGATGCTGCTGAACACCCTACAATGCACAGGCAGCTCCCACAACAAAGAATTATGCCACCCAAAATGCCAACAGTACCTAGGTTGAGAAACCATATTCTCGATGAAACTTTATGATGTTTTAAAAGGTAACATTTGTTTCTGTATTTTTCTGAGTGAACAGAAGTTCTTGTTCATTGAAACAAATTGTAGAAGTGTAGAAATGAGAAAGGAAGAAAACATATCACCTGTGTAGTGGACATCTTTGATACTGTTTGTCTAGCCTCTGCTTTCCTTTGGGGAATTTCTCCTCCTTCTCGTCAACCTTATGGGGGCCAGTCATCATGAAAGCCCAACTACTCCCAATTCCTGGCCATGGCCTAGGCCTTTTGAAGTCCTTTATCTTAATTGACATGAAAGAGTGAGAAGTCCTTTCTTTTGGTGAAGTTGGTGGATTCTGGTCCAGGAAGCATTGTTCCAGCCCTGGTAAAAAGAATACCTGAGAAGATGAATCTAAGATGCTCAGAAGCAGGGATGAGAGATGGACACAGCATTTTTGAGGCTGTCAAGTCTTCTATTTTCCTTTACTGTCCTCTACCTATGCCTTTCTTATGGTTTGGTTATCAAAACAAAAAACAAAAAAACAACAACAACAAACAAACTCTGTGCTATCGAGTCAATTCGACTCATAGCAACCCCTTCTTGAGTTTCTGAGGCAGTATCTCTATGGAAGCAGATTGTCCAATCTTCCTTCCAAGGAGTGGCTATTGGGTTTGAACCAGCAGCCTTCTGGTTAGCAGTCAAGTGCTTTAGGCACTATGCCACCAGAGCTTCACTGTTCTGTCTAAGCTGGTCTGAGCTGTTTTCTAGAATTTGCTACCAAGAATCCTGAGTAATACAGAAATTTGAGAATGGGGCATGGTCAGAGACAGTACCTGAAGTATGGCAAGGGCTCCTAAAGTGTCATTTGAGAGGGAGAGAGGAGCAGAGAGGATCCATCCATCCCAGGAAAAGAGTAAATTCCTTGTCGGGTGGTGAATCCTTGGATACAGTCCCACCAGTTGTCTCCTTGGACCCAGACCATGGGGTACCAGGGCTTGAAGTCTGGAGAATTATGGACAAATGACAGAATGTTGGTGGGTGCTAGCTATTTCCTCCCCTAGCTTTTTATTATAAGCTTTTTAAACATTCTAAAAGTTACTAAAACAGAAGAGTGATACCTGACCCACAACTGGATGGTTTAACAACTCTTAACATGTTGCGATATATACATATGTGTGTGTGTATACATATTATATGTGTGTGTGCATATGTGTATATATATATATATATATAATATTTAATATATATTATATATAATGTATATTTAATATATATAGTATACACGTAGTGCTTAAGGCACTTGACTACTAACCAGAAGGCTGGTGGTTCAAACCCACCGGCCACTCCTTGGAAGGACGTTTAGGCAATCTACTTCCATAGTGATACTGCCTCAGAAACCCAAGGAGGGGTCACTATGAATTGGGTCTAACTCGACAGCACATAACAACAACAACA